CATGTCTGTTAGAACTAATGGGTTTATTGTATTGTTTACATTCTCTGTTTCCTTATCTTCTGTCTGGTTGTTCTGTCCATACTGTGAGTGGGGTATTGAATTCTCCAACTATCATTTAGAACTGTCTACATCTCCCTTCAATTCTATCAGTTTTTGCTTCGTATATTTCGATTTGTCATTAGTTTGTCATTGTTATAATCATGATATCTTTGAACCTTTTATCGATATATAATGTCCTTATTTATCTCTTAAAAATTTCTTTTGATTTAAAGTTTATTTTGTTTGTTATTAGAACCACCTCTGCTCTCTTTTGGTTACTCTTTGCATGGAATATCTTTTTCCATCTTTTCACTCTCAGTAAGTGGATTTTTTTTTTTTTTAAGATTTTATTTATTTGACAGAGAGAGATCACAAGTAGGCAGAGGGGCAGGCAGAGAAAGGTGGAAGGGGGGGAGGAAGCAGGCTCCTTGCCTAGCAGAGAGCCCGATGCAGGACTCAATCCCAAGACCCTGAGATCATGACCTGAGCTGAAGGCAGAGGCTTAACCCACTGAGCCACCCAGGCAGCCCCTTAGTTGAGTCTCTTATAGTTGGGTCTTGTGTTTTTATCCATTCTTCCAATCTCTGTCTTTAATCCATTTACATTGAAAGTACTTACTGATAAGAAGGGACTTACTTCTGTCATTGTGCTATTTGCTTTCTTTATGCCTTATATCTTTTTGTCTCTTGTTTTCTGCATTACATTGTTTGTTTAATTGATTTTCTTTCTTTGGTAGAGAAATTTTAAATTCCTTCCTCACATCCTTTTATGTATAACTTATAGCTGTTTCTTTTATGGCTACCATGGGGATTACGTTTTACATCCTAAAGTCATAACATTCTAATATGAATTTACACCATTTTAGCTCAATAGATTTTGTTTGTCCATATTTACTGCAGTAGAAAATTTTCATGTTTGAATTAACCAGGTTGACAGCTGAGGGATTTTATATTCTGAATATATGCTACGTGGAAAGCAGTATACCCCAGAACTGCACAGGGAACAATTTTATGAGAAACAGAGAAACAGTTGTTGTTTGTGTCAGTGAGGAAAGAAAAGGAAAGAGGAAATTAATGAATAATAAAGAAGAAGCTGATGTCAAAAATAGGGAAAGTTATGTGGAATTAGGGAACGATTCTCATACAGATTTGCCAGAATTTGATAGGGTTTTAGGCAATACTTTAATAACAGAATAATACCCTTGATTGGGTATACATTTAATTACACTAGTTGAGAAGAACAGCTTTGGGATGTTTGTTATTATTACATTTCAAATAGGCCTGAAACTTTCAACTGTGAATGAATACTGAGAATAATGAATCTTCTGCGGGTGTATGAAAAACATCCATCCAGTGTAAAATGTAATTCAAGTTATTTCTGCAATATGGTTATGTTGCATTGAGGCAGTTGCAGTACTCATGTCTATTAGAAGCAATATAGTATTGTGTTTAAGGACTCAGCCTGGCATTGTACTGCCTGGCATTCAGCCCCAAATCTGCCATGTACCGTGTAACTTTGGATACGTCACTCAAACTCTTTTGCCTCAGAGTCTTTGTCTGTCCCCTGGTGATGATATTAATCATAGCATGTGCCTTATAGTTTTGTGAAGATCAGATGAGTTGATACACACAGAGTGCTTTATTTTTTTTTTTAAATTTTTTTTTTTTAAGATTTTATTTATTTATTTGACAGAGATGACAAGCAGGCAGAGAGGCAGGGGGGAAGCAGGCTTCCTGCTGAGCAGAGAGCCCGATGCGGGGCTTGATCCCAGGACCCTGGGATCACGACCTGAGCTGAAGGCAGAGGCTTTAACCCACTGAGCCACCCAGGCGCCCCACACAGAGTGCTTTAAAGCACTGTTATCAAACACATATTAAGCACTTATAAATAATAGCTACTGTTTTTATTGCTAAAGAGAGGTAAGAACTGACACATTTTTTTCTTTCCTATTCAGATAAAGTTTGAAATCCAGTGGCCCCAGCCTGCAAGCCTCACCACTTTCCTCCATCGGTCCGTTCTCCTCTATGATTCCCCCACCTTATCTCTTGACCCTATAAGGAAAATTATTACCTCCAGAGGACTTTAGGCAGTCCCTTATGGAGTTATGAACCAAAGGTTTACACCTTCCCTATAACCAGGAACCTTGTAAGCTGCAGCCTGTAGGGTACATCTGGCCTATTGCCTTTTTTATATGTGCTGCTGAGCTAGGAATTGGTTTTCAATCGCTGAAAAAAATCAAAAGAAGAGGAATATTTTGTGAAATTGTGAAAATTATATGAAATTCAAATTTCAGTGCCCATAAGTACAATTTTATTGGAACATAACTCTGCCAATTAATTTCTGTGTTGCCTGCAGCCACTTTCGTGTCACGGGAGCAGAATCAAATAGCTGCAACTAAGTAAGACCTAATGGCTTACAAATCCTAAAATATTCACTATCAAGCTTTTTCCAGAAAAGGTTTGCCCACCCCTACAGTAAATACTAGCATTCAATGCTTTACATTTTCCTGTATTTTTTTGATAGAAAATTCTAGACCATAACTTGTCATTCAGTTTTTACTCTCCCAGTTTTTCTTTCAGAATGATAGTTTCTCTTCTTAAACTATCCCGTATAATGATGAGAATCATTAATTTAGAGCTTTCTTGGGTACTCCTATCTTTTTTTTTTTTTTTAAAGATTTTATTTATTTATTTGACAGAGAGAGATCACAAGTAGGCAGAGAGGCAGGCAGAGAGAGAGAGAGAGGTGGGGGGAAGCAGGCTCCCTGCTGAGCAGAGAGCCCGATGCAGGGCTCGATCCCAGGACCCTGAGATCATGACCTGAGCCGAAGGCAATGGCTTAACCCACTGAGCCACCCAGGCGCCCTGGGTACTCCTATCTTAATTATGAAGAATAGCTTTAAGATATCAGAAGACTTTTACCTGTAATTGTATTGTATACCATGTGTGCTGTTACTGGAAGAGAGTGGTTTTTTCTGTCATAGAATCTTAGAGTTGGAGGGGACTTCAGGGTCATCTGGTTGTGTTCAGTGACCTTACAGATGAAGAAATGGAAGGTCAAGAAGTAACATAAGTAACCCTCTGTCACAGGGCGAGGTCAACAAAGAATCAGGACTAGTATGCATTTCCTGGTGTTATTCTACCTCTTTTTGTGTCATACCAATCCCATATCCCCTAAACCAATCGTCAAGGCCAGGTTGTGCGTCTACACAGAAGACCTTGCAGATACAGCCTACCCTTAGGGTTTATATCAGTAGAATACTCATCCTCAGGGTTTGCTTGTCTTTGCCTTTTCTCTGGAGAAGTCTTTGAGAGAGTTTGGTGAAAAAGTAAAAAATGAAAAGATGAGAATATTATCACTATTGGACTCATTTCATCACTCTGAACTCTGCCAGAATACCTTTTCGGGCAAGAGCAGCATCCATAGACAAAAGAAATAGATAGGGATGGGCATTGTGTGCCCAGAAAACAGGAAAAAAAAAAAAAATGACATTCAGGTACTTATTAGAAATTGGCCCAAATATTTCACTTTTGATTCTTCAGTTATTTTTACTTTCATCCTGGGTCACCTGTTAACTTCCAGGGATCATGTATAATGAGGTCCTACTTGAACTCTATGAGGAGAAATTGAATTAGAAAGAACTGGGGTGGTTATTTTCAAATATTATAACGGGAACAAAATGTGAAATGAGGTATTTACAGTATTAAAATGACCTCTATATAAATTTAGATGAAATAAGATTTTTTGGTTGTTTTTACTTCTTGAGGTACAGTCTCCCACAACCATAATTTGAATCACCCAAGAAATGTAAATGTGCTGTGTTACCCCTGGGTGGACTGTTAATATTTTGGCTTTGTAGATTAGTTTGATGTCATCTGCTTGATAAGCAAATATTATCCATTTCCCCTTTACTCTCACCTTAGTCCCATTCTCCCATTTGTTGGTTTTAAACCTATACCTTTTCCTTACTTTAATTTTCTGGTTTCTTTCCACCACCTGTTTTTTGCTCTTCATTCCCATTCAAATTTTGAAGCTCAATTTGGTTTTCTAAATATACACATGGTTCCTGCCTTCTGTAATTTACTCCCAACAACTATGAATCATCCATTTTAAAAAAGATTTCAGTTCATCCACTGGTTACCATTTATTCTGCTTCCTTACCATGTAAAACAACCCAAGAGCCATCTCCCCTGAGGGTTTTTTAAAACCTTAGTTCACCTGATGTAAATCTTTTGTATCCAAATTCAGCTTTATATTTTCAGTCACCTAATACTATACTGGCATTTCGAGGGTAACTTCCTATCAGACTTGCCCTGGAGTTAGAAGTTTGACATTATTAGGCAAGAACCTTCGGAACTAGTAATAGGAAGACCAACATAGTCTACAGATAGGCCTTCTGCATAGGAGACGAGAGTACTAGACCAGGTTGCCAAAAACCTGGATCTCTTAACTAATTTATCCTTAACGAATTCTCTCTTCTCTAGCTTTATATCCTCATCTGAATGATGAGGACATTGAACTAGACCGTCTGAATTTCTAAATGTAGGAGTGGGCCAAGAGAAGGGAACCGAAAACATTGCCTAGTGTGGGGTGTTGTGAAGGTAAAAATACATTAACTGGAAGGTCATAGAGGAAGGAGATGAGGCCTAAATTTGGTATATATGCAGTTTCTTCACATCATATTCCTTAACGCATTGGCTAAGAATGTGTGAGGTAAAGCAGCTCTCAGGAGGACATGGGTTGAGTCTCCTTTTAAAGTGAAGGGATTCAGGTACGAGTGCCCAGCCGCCCGTTGCTCATGGTCACTATTGGTGGCTCACTCGCCTGTGGATGGCAAGCGGGGCCTCCTCCAAAGACGACCTTCTCAAGTTCCGTGTTTATGAGAAATGTCCTTGTGAGTATTCTGTGAGACAGCCATTTTTATTTTGATGAAAAAGGTGTTTTTCTTGACCTTTGTTCATGTGGGTGAAGCAGACCTTTGAGGAAGCTGATAAGAATGGTGACGGCTTACTGAATATTGAAGAGATACACCAACTGATGCACAAACTAAATGTCAATCTTCCCCGAAGAAAAGTCAGACAAATGTTTCAGGTACGTTTTCACGGATGGGTTGGCCTTGTATAAAATACACATTGGAGGTTATTGTTATACTTGGATATTTCAAAGGCTGCTCTGTTTTGTTGGAAGTTGATATTATCTGTTCTGTATTGTATTTTTCTTTGAGGAAAAGAGGCGCTTTGTTTTGTGAAAGAAAAAAAAAAAAAGCTTCCTAAACTTAACACGTATGCATGATTTCACTTCCTAAGATGCTTTTTTATTGTTGCTGTTTTCAGGGAGTGATTATAAGCGCTTTACCTGGCACTTAGATAATGGAGTAAACCCAGTCAAGGGCCTTCAAGGGAGCGATAACATCTCAGGGGCCCACCCCACAGAGCTCTTGTGAGGATCAGAATCAGACTAGGTAGCCTGAGGAAATGACACTTATTAAAGTCCTCGAGAGGCTCTGTTTCGTTTCAGAGTTGTTTAAGATTTAGAACCCATGATGCTTAGAAGTACTGTCTCACTCCTACCATTTAGGGAACCCTCCATAAGTTCATTCAACTGCCTGTTGGTATTAAATGAAATGCTCTTTCCCTCTTGGTCCGTCCTTGAGGAAAACCCTTGGGGCCAAATGTACCCTGTGGCCCCCAGCTGGGACTATACCTAGTCCTCCATCGAAGGTACAGAAGTGAGCTCTCTTGAGTGAGTACAAAGTCAATGTCAGATTATTAGTAATTGCTAATATACTAATTTAGGAAGTGCTCTTATTTGGAGAGAAGTCATATGCACGATCCGTGTTTTGCAATAATTTTCTGTTCTAAGTGATTAGGTGATATTTTGTACATGTAAAAGTAAGCAGAGAGTGTGATATTTTCTGATGGCTAATGTTTTGTGCTACTTTTGTTTTCTCACCGTTTGTTCTTTGAGGCGGTAAGGACAGAAATGACATGAGGGATGTGTTGCAATGATGAATGGAAGGTAGAGGCTGGTTCCATTCTGTGACCTCTTATCCTGGCCCTGTCTTTCGGAAGCTCGTGGCTGGACATGGTTTTCAATGAGGTCACATTGCACTGGAGAACAACAGAAGAGAAAGGAAAAGAAGAGGAAGGCAGATGCTTTAGAACGAACACCAGAGATGGAGAGAGAGGCTTTGGAGGGGAATTGTATTGCCACAAATAGAGAACTGTCTTTCGACTGTATGGAAGGCTTTGCCATGTTCCTGGCACTCCCTGTGACATCTCACTTTTGTCCTGTTGTGAGCCCCACACTCCCAGCTGTTCCTTTCCACAGAAAATGCTCATGGTACTAAAGAGGTAGCTTCTGATCAAAGGAGAGGGGCCAAGCTTAAAGAGGAAGGCAAAGTGTATACCTACAAAGATAATGATGTGGAGTTACCTTTTGGAAGTTAGATAAGGGAATAACATAAAATATTGATCTATTTTTACTTCTATATTTTTCCCCTTTAGACACCTTTTATTTCCCATGCACTAAGCATTTTGTAGGGCAAATCAGGAAATGTTTATGTCAAATGTCTTATGCGTTCAAAGTAAATCTTTAGACAAGTCTTAAGAAAACACTAGGGGTCTCTTTTTATGACCTTAAGTTTAAAGACTTACCGAGCCAGAAGTAGGATAAGCAGTAGGACCTGCTGGAAAACATTTCCACTGTAGGCCTTGTACCTAGCAGGGTTGTAGAAATGCTCTTTGTGGGAGAGGGTTGGGACCAAAGGTCTTGGTATTATTTCAGGAACATTTTTCTTCTGGTTGAATCGCTGGTGCAGACATTGAAGCCTTCCTAGAATTTTCTTTGCTTTTTTGTTGCAAAGCAAGGTTCAACTAAATTTTTTTAAAATAAATCTTTTAAGTTATGGATAGCTAGTTTTTTTATTATATAATTTTAAAAATTTTTTTATAAACATACAATGTATTATTAGCCCCAGGGGTACAGGTCTGTGAATTGCCAGGTTTACACACTTTACAGCACTCGCCATAACACATACCCTCCCCAATGTCCATAACCCCACCACCCTCTCCCTACCCCCCTCCCCCTGGCCACCCTCAGTTTGTTTTGTGACATTAAGAGTCTCTTATGGTTTGTCTCCCTCCCAATCCCATCTTGTTTCATTTATTCTTTTCCTGCTCCCCAAGCCCCCCACTTTGCATCTCCACTTCCTCATATCAGGGAGAGCATATGATAGTTGTCTTTCTCTTATTGACTTATTTCGCTAAACATAATACTCTCTAGTTCCATCCATGTCGTTGCAAATGGCAAGATTCCATTTCCTTTGATGGCTGCATAGTATTCCATTGTGTATATATATCACCTCTTCTTTATCCATTCATCTGTTGATGGACATCTAGGTTCTTTCCATAGTTTGGCTATTGTGGACATTGCTGGGATAGCTACTTTTGAAGTCTTTGAATGCTGTTGTTTATATGTCAGAGTTTTATTGTTCTTAATTGTTTATAAGGAAGTCTTGAAAAATGTTTTTTTCTCTGTATCTAGGGTTAGATACTTTGAAACAAAGGTATGGCAGAAATTTGAATATTAGACCCAGTTTCTTAAGACGCAGTAACTGTACAAACAAGCATCTCAGGTTCCCAAACTAGATATTCTAAAGACCATTCTCCTTCTACCTTTGAAAGGACTGAAGCCAGTCAGCTCCACAATGAAACTGTGTATGATTTAAATATTGGTTAAAGTGTGTGCTCATAGTTATCCCAAGGTTAGCAAAATTTTTAAAAATATATTTTTTATGAGCACGTTGACTTTCAAAGCTATGTCTAAAACCCCATAACAGCTGAGTATATACATTGCAAAACCTGGGCAATTCAAGATGCCATTCGTTCCCTGTCAATTTTGGTTCAGTTACAACTGTGTTCACGTAAAATGAAGATCATATGAATGGATTAGCTGCTCATTACATATTCCCAACAATTTTAGAGTTTCCTCAAAAATTTAGCCAATCAGTAGGAAGATACACGTTGAAAGATTCTTGCTCAATATTTCTAGAAATGAATAATTTCAACTAGAAATCAGTCCAGGTAGATTTTTCAGACTTCTGTGGAGGGAAAACAAGGAAGTACCAATGATCCTGATGGCTATAAGAGCAATAAGCTACCTAGGCCAAATTAAGAGAGATTCTATTATATTTAAAAATTGTATTTGATTGAATTACAGTTCAGAAGCTGGTCGGAGACTAGTATTTTCATAACATGTTAAATATTTTTTCTCTTTTATTCCTGGTTCGTCTTGTCCAACACTTCTACTTCTTTTTTTTTCCTTTTTTAAAGATTTTATTTATTTATTTATTTATTTATTTATTTATTTGAGAGAGAATAAGCCTGAGGGGTGGTTGGTCAGAGGGAGAGGCAGACTCCCTGCTGGGCAAGGAGTCTGAAGCAGGACTTGATCCCAGGACCCCACGTCACAACCTGAGCCGAAGGCGGTGCTTAAGCCACCCAGGCGCTCCTCAACATTTCTTTTTCATTCTTCGAAAGACCAGCTCTTGGTTTAATTGTCACCCTTGGATGACATATCTGTTTTCTATTTCATTGCTTTTTGCTTAAGTTTATAATTTATTTCTTTGTATTTTCTTTAGCCTAATTTTCTCTAGCTTTTTGAGTTCAATTATTGAGTTGAATTATTAACTTATCTGTTTTCAGTCTACCTTGTTCTCTAATACATTGAAATCTTTATTTCCTTCTAATTACTGCTTTAAGTCATCATATGGATTTTAATCTGTAGTGCATATGTTCACTTGTATGTTTCATTTCCTATTTAGAAATGTATCATGTTGTCTTCAGACATTTTTTTTTAAAGCTTTTTTTTGGTTGGTATATAAATTTACTGTGACCAGAGAAATTGGTTTTTATAAGGTTGAGTCTTTATAACATAAAACTTTTTTTTGTGGCCTAATAAATAGTTAACTTAAATTGACCCACGTGTGCTTGAAAAGAATGGGTTTACCATTTGTGAAATGTGTTCTAGCCTTTTTATAGTAAATATGATTTCCCAGTACTGAATTTCCTATTTCAAACTCTCACAATGCCTTTTTTTCCCTCTGCCTTTAGGAAGCTGATACAGATGAGAATCAAGGAACTCTGACATTTGAAGAATTCTGTGTTTTCTACAAAATGATGTCACTGAGACGGGACCTTTATTTGCTGCTGTTGAGCTACAGTGACAAGAAAGATCACCTAACTGTGGACGAGCTGGTGCAGTTTTTGAAGGTGGAACAAAAGGTATCATTAGACTGTTGAATTGAATTGTTTACTTAAAAATACAAATATACAGGTTTCTTCTGGTGTTGGATATAGGTACACTTTACTTTTAGGATAGAGGAGTAAATATCACAATTCCACCAAAAAATCTTATGAGTTATTTTTAACAGATTTCTAGCAGCTTTTATGAGGGAGTGATAAATTGAACACTCACATAATTTTTTAACTGAAATAAGTTGAATATTTTTCCACAGAGTAAGGAATGTTACCTCATGTGTCTCATTTTAGATATAATAGTTATGTTTTCTTTATACTAAAAATATAGGTAGGTATTTGTTTGGTATTTGTTAAATGTGACATAATTCTTTTTTTCTTCCTGAAGATTTTATTTTCATTTATTTATTTGAGAGAGAGAGAGAGATAGAGAGAGCATGAGTGGGCTGGAGGGGCAGAGGGAGGAGCAGCAGAATCCCCGCTGAGCAGGAAGCTTGACATGGGGCTCAATCCCAGGACCTGGAGATCATGACCGGAGTCAAAGGCAGACACCCAACCGACTGAGCCACCCAGGCACCCCAACTATGACATAATTCTTAACTAGCAATATAGTAATTCATTGATAATTTTGATAGGAAATCGACATTGGATCATTTCAGAAGACTAAGTAAACTAAGTCCCGATTAGCAAAGAAAACCCCTAAATATATTTAAAATAAGAACTTTTCTTTAAAAAAAAAAAAAAAAAAAAAGATTATTTATTTGAGAGAGAGAATGAGAGAGGGAGAGGGAGAACATGAGGAGAGGGGTCAGAGGAGAAGCAGACTCTCCACTGAGCAGGGAGCCTGATTCGGGTCTCAGTCCTGGGACTCCAGGATCATGACCTGAGCCGAAGGCAGTCACTTAATTGACTGAGACACCCAAGTGCCCTGGCTCTCACATATTAAAGCATAACGTGGGGCTCGATCCCAGGACCCTGAGATCGTGACCTGAGCCAAAGGTCGATACTTAACTGACTAAGCCACCCAGACGCTTCTATGAGTTTGACTTTTTAGATTCTACTTTTTCAGTGAGATCGTGTGTCTTTGTCATTTCATGTAGCATGATTTCCTCTAGGTTTTAAAGATGTCACAAATGGGAGGGATGATTTAATCAATCAACCTACATAATGGAACCTCTACCAAAGCCCCTGCCCCACAAGGTTTGCAGAGCTTCTGGGTTGGTGAAGCTACAGGATGTACTGGGAAGGGGAAGGGGAAGGGGTGTACCCTGAGAGGGCATGGAGGATCTGAATACCTTCCCATACATGTGCCCTATGCAGTTCTTCATTTGGCTGTTCCTGAGTTGTATACTTTGTAGTAAATCAGTCCTAGTAAATAAAGCACTTTTCTTAGTTCTGTGAGTCATTCCAGTGAATTTTGGGAACTGACAGGCTTTCTCCTTGACTAAACACTAGGCAGGCTCTTCTGAGTCCTTTTTTTTTGACTAGGCCCTGTCGTTGGGCCTTGTCTTCAAGAGTCCAGCTGTAGCAAGAATCCTGCTAAGTCCCTTTAACTAAAACCTGCATCTCTGATACCTGATCACCTCAACAGCTGATAAAATTCCTTATTTTCACCATCTCCTAGGTGATATCACCACTTTTCCTTTAGCAAGAACCCTATTAGGTAGGTTTACCCAGAATCCCCTCTTATCTCCGATGTTTCCTCCACTGACCCCCACCCAGCTTCTTGGGTATAAAGCCCCCTTATTTATCCTGTATCTGGAACTGAACCAGTATTATATACTGAAGTTCTCTTTTCCCCTATTGTAATAGTTACTGATTAAAATCTGTTTTTATTGCTTTAAATAGTGTCTAGGTCTGTTTTTTCTTCTTTTCTTTTTTTAAAAAAATTCTTAAATTTTTATTTTTTATTAAAGATTTTTATTTATTTATTTATTTGAGAGATTAAGATTGAGAGAGATCACAGAGGGAGAGGAAGTAGCAGACTTGCTTCTGAGCAGGGAGCCCCACATGGGGCTTGATCCCAGGACCCTGAGATCATGACCTGAACCAAAAGCAGATGCCTAACCCACTGAGCCACACAGGTGCCCCTGTTATTTCTTTTTTTTTTTTGAGATTTATTTACTTGAGAGAGAGAGAGCACGCACACAGGTGCATGTGGGCAATGGGGGAGGGGCAGAGGGAGACAATCTTTGAGCAGACTCCCTGCTGAGTGTAGAGTCTGACAGTGGGGCTGGATCTTAGGACCCAGGCGATCATGACCTGAGCGAAAACTGAGAGACGCTCAGCCGGCTGAGCCACCCAGGTACCCCATGGTCTGTTTTTCCTTTGACAGAACCCCCAAATTTGTAGTAGGCCAAGCAGAAATGGGGGTAGCCTGAATACCTCATTTGCGGCTAGAATGAGGTGGAGCAGTCTATGGGATTGAGCACTTTACCTGTGGGGTCTAATGCTAACTCCTGGTAGTTAGTGTCGGAACTAAATTACATTGTTGGATTCTCTGTTGGAGAATCAAAAACTTGCTTGGTGCCAGAAAAAGATACACTAGAGATTTGGTAATGATTTACTTTACCCAATTCCACAAGCATATACATTTTAGGAATAACAGATTTAGATTTAATAGATTTTGGTGTTGCTTTCTTAAGGATTAATTGTTAGTAAATGTTTCTATCAAAATCAATTATTTTAGTTGGTTTGCTAATTTGGCAAAGGAAGAGATTCTCCATTAACAAAGTTAGCTCTGATACAGATACAACGTGGAAATGTGGAGGAATAGAATAATATTTTCCCCCCAGAAAATAAGCCCTACTACATACATCGCTTCTCTGTTTTCTGCTTTTGTAACTACTTTGTACTTTCACCTGGACCACTCCTCTAATACAGTAGAAAGAACATTAGACTGGGAGCTCAGAAGATCTACATTCCAAGCCCTACAGGCTTTATTGATAGGAGAATCTTGGGCAGGTCATACATAATTGTTTCTGACCCTTTGTTTCCTAATCTATAAAAGGGAGCTGATATCTACCTTTCCAATCTCACGTGTCAAATTGAACATTGATTGTAATGATGAATGTGAAGAAGGCCCTCTGACATAGATATTCAGAAGCACAGCAATGTGACAAATTAAAATTACAATATTTAAAACTACTGACTTCAAATTCATTTGGACAAGTGGAATTAACCCAGTCCATTTGAATAGCAATAGTGAATGTCACTTGCTAAAGGGCATGTGTTTCTTCCCTCCTTTTGGGTTATACTAACATTCAACCGGTAAATTTTTGTTAGGGAAAACAGAAGCCAGTGTTCTATGACATCTGCCCCTGGCAGACGATTACCTGTATCCAGTTTAATTTTCTAAATTAGCTTGAAGCTACATATGGGCATGATCTGAAAGGAATTTTTAAAAAATTATCATACATCAAGACACATAAGACATAAAGGAAAATATTAATGTCTTGAAACTTTTAAGTTTTTGTGTGATCCAATTTATCAAATACCATAAAATGATAGTCTAGCACAAACTAGGAAAATATTTGTAACATACAAAGGGAGAAACAGTGAAATTCCTTAATATGGGAAGTGATGTCATAGACTACTGAGGAAAAAAGATGAATACCCAATAGAAACATGGGCAGAACATTTGAAACATTAAACATTTCATAAAAAGTCCGGGCACCCGGGTGGCTCAGTGGGTTAAGCCTCTGCCTTCGGCTCAGGTCATGGTCTCAGGGTCCTGGGGTTGAACCCCACACTGGGCTCTCTGCTCAGTGGGGAGCCTGCTTCCGCCCCCCCCTCCCGCCTGCCTCTCTGCCTACTTGCGATTTCTCTCTCTTTGTCATCTTTAAAAAAATAAATAAATACAAATTTTATAAAAAGTAAATAAGCCTATTGAAAAGTTCACCCTTCATTAGGAATTCAAATATATGAAATAAAATGAAAAGATCATTTTTTACCCACCAAATCAGTAAAGATTAAAAAATAAATTCTATCAGACATGGTGTCTGTTTCTTACATTTCCTTTGAAGTTGTGAAATGGTCTAATCTTTCTTTAGGACAGTTTAATGATCATATTTTATATAATTTATTAAACTTTGACCAATCTGTTTTACTTCTATGGTTCATTCTAAGGAAATAATTGTGTACATTAAAAAAAAGGATGTAAAGTTGTGCATTTCAGCATTCTTTAAAATAGAGAAAAATTGAGCACCATCTAAATGTGCAGCAAGAGAGTCATTAGTTAAGAGTTTTGTGGGATTTTGAGTTTTAAAACGGGATTTTCACAATGGAACAAATTGGAGGCAATTTGACTATTCATATGGCAGTAATTCATTCATTTCTGATGGCATAAGATTAGTGTAGACACCAGAGTATTCAACTTTTACTGATTTTTGCAGTTGTGAAATGAAATATCACTGCTGGTCACATATGTTGTCAAAGATTATATGAAATCAAATATTGGCCACGGGTCAGATTTTTATTTCACTGAGGCTCTCGGAGACGTGATTTCATAACTTTGACAGGCCCAACTGCTGTTTGATTAGAGCCTTTCATTTTTAAAACGTGGATGTGCTTGGAGAAATTCTCTCTCTGTTTTATATCCATGAAGAAGTGCCAGTTAAGAAGAAACCAGCGGGCTGACACTTCTCTTTCACTGCTTCCTTGCAACTGCAAATAAAGATGACTGACATCCGCAAGTCTGTGATTCCAGAGAACTAGGTCTGGTTGAGGTTTTTTGGTTTCATTTTTACCCACTGTGTTTGCCGAAGAGCAATCTACGTCTTCTCCAGATTTACTATGCATTTGCTGGCACTGGGGCAGAATGTGTTTTGTGTTCAGTTCTTTTCAGAGTTTTGGTTCAGGAGCGATAATTGGATTTCATCCCCCCATCCCCCTGACAGCTTTTCTTAATAAGCGTCTACTTTCTTTCTATCCTTTTGTGTCCACTTTCTATCATTTTGTGTCTCGTGGACAGAGGAGAGAGGCAGGAGGAATGAAGCATCCTTGCTGTCTGAGCAACCACCTAGCTG